GGTTAGGGTTAGAGAACTGCAAACACAGCCACTTTTTAACACAGCCAGATCTTTTTTTTCAGGCTTGTGTGGTATCCTAACAGTTGAAGTTGACAAGTTGGGAAACACTGCTTTATAGCAATAACGCTTTTAGGTCCTGCTCTTTGATTTTAAAGACAAAGTCACTCATAGTATCACTGAAAAAAATGGCAAAAAACTACATTCAGGCAAAAAGAATGCCTTAACCTACACCAAATCTACTTATTATAACTGCTAGGATTGACAGAAGTCACCCATCACAACACTTAATTTCTTCTTCTATACTGAAAATAGGAGTCTTAGCATGACACTTACTAACTCTCCTATACCATCCAGATTCCAGACAACCACTGCAAGTTTCTTCAAATGGCCGACCACATAGATTCATTGAAGCAAAACAAACCTATTTCATCAAATGCATGAAATGTTAACCTGAGAGGCATACATGCATACGGTGATGGTGAGTGGAACTATAAGCAGTGACCTGAAAGGTGATAGATAGATAGACAGACAGGCAGAACCATTTTCAATTTCTAAAGCTTCCTTAGGGGGAAAATTCATTGTAGTTTACCAATAAGCGTGTTTAGAATTTATTTCCAAAACATTGTCATCAGTACATCAGTTGTATGAGGAATCTTCTATTGGTATTTAGTTTTCCTACAGTCAAGATGTCTCAAAAGGAAGCAGCATGTTGACAACTCAATCTGGACCAAAGTCTGACTCCTGGGAATACCAGAACTATAAGTTATCCTGGGAAGTGGAAGAAACATCCCAGAAGGCAATAGCCATTCCCTTCCCTACAGCTGTCAAGAAAACTGCATGAACATATCCATGAAATCACCAAAAGCTAAGCTTTGACTTGAAGGAGAGTCTGCGTGGAAAGCAATCTAATCTCTTTTCTTCCATTTCTCAACTTCTGCTCCATATTTTGCTTTAAAACAGGAATGAGCAAAAATTATTCAAATCTACTGGCAGCTGTATCTGATTTGCAGTAGATTAGCAAGGATTTTTGACCTTAACTGTTTGAAGAATTGCAGTTATGCAAACATATGCCTCCAGCTGGTGGAACTAGTCAAAAAAGCAACAAAAAAAGAAAAAATCAAATATAAGACTATCAGGCCCACCCTGTTTTTCAGATCACCATTTCCCTCTTACTTTTATCTACCGCCTCTCAAAATGTTTGGGGGACTGATGACCTATATATCCTAATTCTGCACCTTTTCTCCTACCTGGTGAAAGGGTATCTCCCCCAAGCCCCCTGTCCTCCATTCCTAAACTCCTTCCTCCATGAAAGAGACCAACATACTCTCTACTTCTCTGAGGCTGTCTCGCCTATTCCCCAAGCAGCCTTGTTTGCTCAGAATGGCTGTTGACCATTCCCTTCTTCTCTACCGAGATCAGGGGCTACTCCACCTCTTCTCGGTCTTCCCTCCAGAGCGCGGGGATTCTGCCCCACCGCTCGGCTGGAAGGAGGAGGAAACAGCGCTGCCTGCCTCCTTTACCTCCTGCCCCGCTCCCCGAAGCCGGCGCCGTCGCTTGGGCGAAAAGGAGGCCCTCCTGCACCATGCCTCTGCCTGCTCGCCTCCCCTGCGGGCAGGTTGGGTGGCTCGGCCCCTCCTCCGCCACCTACCTGCCGGGTGTTGCTTCCCGGGGCCGCCGCCCGGGCAGCTGTGGAGCCGGAGCCAAACGTGGAGCACCACACCCACCGCAAACGGGCCCAGAAGTAACAGCCCACGT